GAACCGCTTTAAAGCAAATATTTGGTGTCTCTAATTTATTGCAGAATTATTGTCAGCAATTCTAGAAACTTCAAGAGAGTGGAACCAATGTGGATGGATCTAGAGCATTTATTTATTGTACTTATATAGCACTGTCAATTTACGCAGTTGTTTACATATATATATTGTACATTCACATCAGTCCCTAACCCTCAAGGGGGTGTACAATCTAAGGTCCCTAACTCACATTCATACATACACATACTAGGGCCAATTTAGACAGGATCCAACTCACCTACCAGCATGTCTTTGGAGTGTGGGAGGCAGGGGTAGACTGACCATTTGGAAACCCGGGCACTGCCCGAGGGCCCGGGGTCAGTAGGGGGCCCCATGAGATGCTCCTGGTACCCTTTTCATAGGCTTTTTTGAGTTTGGGCAAGGACACAGGAGCCCCATGATCCCCTGTTGCCCGGGGGCCCCATGAGTTGTCAGTCCACCCCTGGTGGGAGGAAACCCATACAGGCACAGGGAGAACATGCAAACTGCAGGCAGGTGGTGCTGTGGTTGGGGTTTGAATCCACATCCCTAGTACTGCCAGGTGGAAGTGCGAACCATTTAACCACTGCGCTGCCCAATTTTTTGGAACATTTTTCGGTTATAGTTTGGCAATAATTGTTAAGAAAACAAGAATTTCCCATGAATCCCAAAACTTGGTTTGAATTCTATGCATTCTGAAACAGGTGGACATTATTTTTCTCTTCTATTAATAGTGCGTGTTTAAATGCAGACAGCCACGTTCCTTTAACTTTTGCTTTTGTGCTTTGATGGCAGACCAATTGTCTGTTTAGCCAGTCAATAAGATCATTACCGAAGTCTCTTTCTCTTTGAGGTTATGCGGTAAGCCTTAATTGACCAGCGTCTTCAAAGTAACACAGCAGATGAAAGGTTATAGAAATTATATGCAGTGGCAGACAGTAAACTAGTTATGTCAAATATTCTTTCTGATTTTGTTTCTCATTTAGCTCAGGTTTGTTTATCAACCTATGGATCTTCTTCTGATGGACTTCTTTGAAGTGAACCCATGCTTTGCTCGTGCAGGACAAAACAACAAGTTCAATATAATGCCCCATAGCTACTTTCCTTCACTCCCCTGCCTCTTTTCTTATCCATGGGAGTGGGGAGACTTTACGTGTATGTCATCGCCTGGACCAATAAAATTAAGTTGGTTCCAATGGTAAAGTGATTTTTTCCTTCAAAGAAGCAGATCTATGGTTGAAATGTAGTATCGGTGGACCCTGTTCTGATCTTAGGCTGCTACCTCTCTGATAGCAACAACGTTAGCACTCGCCCGGTGGTAAATTCTTGGATGTGTACTAGGGAGGGTTTGGTACAAATGTTTTGTCATTTGAAGAACATTTTTGAAACATTTATTGGTTAGGAGCATCAAATATATCCAATGCGTTTCGGGAGAAATCATTAATTCTCTTCAGCAGAGACCTCCATTTTGGATCTGTTCTGGGAATCTTTCTATGGATGATGAAAAAGGTAGGTTTTTTTTTCAGGTGGACTAAAGACAGATCTTTAGTTTCAGTTACCTTTTCACTCTTCTGTATTACTTTGTAATCCTTCACCTTCTACGCCAATCAATAAAATTATGATTCACTACAATGTTACCACTCTTAAAATGTTATGAGTGAAATGTTGGATGTATAAAAAAAGAACTTTTTGAATCCCTATTGGAGGGATACGTCTATACTATGCTACATATGTGCTGTGACACGCGATAATAGTCTCATATATGTCTATAAGGAACCGCATTATCTCTCTATAAGAGCAATTTTTGGAACTCTTAACTTGGGAAATCCTCAGGCAGGGGCGGAACTTGGGTATATACACTTTTTCATAGGTTTATTTTGCCCCCTGCTTTTGAGTTTAGCCTGGACTTTATTAGCCTGGACTTTATATACATAGACCACCTGGCTTTCCACCCCAATATCCTTCACTAGGAATACAAAGACCTGATCTCATTTCAAGTGAGGTGGAGTCTCCTTGATCTTATTTATGGTAATATATATAATTTTTACCCTTATAATTATTTATTATATTTTTTTTCAAGTATTTTGTTTGACACTTATGGCTTATGTTTATACATTCTTAGAACCACTTGCTATTGTGGATTCCTTTCTATTTGGGGTGGTCACCCAGGAAGGCCTTATATTCATCATTTTTTCATGATGGCCAAGCTCATGTGAAGGTAATGGAACTATTATTTAGCCTGGTCATTTTTGGTTAAGTATATGAATTGTGTATACACTATGCTTTCTATATTTCCACTACCATGATCTCCCTTTTTGGTTTCCATTATAGGAAGTCATTTTTCGTTTATTGTGGTGTTTACCAAAGAATATCTTTGAAGAATGATCTCCCTATCCAGATACTATGTGGAACCATATGGGACTCCATGACCATAAAGCTAGGAAAACTCCATTGCCTTATGTGGATTCCTGCTTGCCGATCAATAACCATTTTTGAAGACGCAGTATGCTTTTTAATTTTGTTATTTTATTATGATTTGTTCACCGTGTCTATGTCTTACCTCTTCATGATCCATGTGATAAAATAAATATTTTTGTAGTTATTAATGCAGTTATATTACTCCGCTTGGATTTTCAATTAACCACTTTTTGCAGGTAGTGTTGCTCTTGTCATACTGCCATATTTTTTACTAAGTACCCTGAGTTTATAAATCCACATTTACATTACAAATGAGAAGGAGATATTATTAGGACACGGATATACGTGTCATATTAGGTGGCTTTTCTCCCCTTTTTTGTTTGTAGTATCGGTGGACCCTGTTCTGATCTTAGGCTGCTACCTCTCTGATAGCGACAACGTTAGCACTCGCCAGGTGGTAAATTCTTGGATGTGTACTAGGGAGGGTTTGGTACAAATGTTTATGTCATTTGAAGAACATTTTGAAACATTTATTGGTTAGGAGCATCAAATATATCCAATGCGTTTCGGGAGAAATCATTAATTCTCTTCAGCAGAGACCTCCATTATGGATCTGTTCTGGGAATCTTTCTCTGGATGATGAAAAAGGTACCGTAGTTTTTTTTTCAGGTGGACTAAAGGCAGATCTTTAGTTTCAGTTACCTTTTCACTCTTCTCTATTACATTGTAATCCTTCACCTTCTACGCCAATCAATAAAATTATGATTCACTAGAATGTTACCACTCTTAAAAATGTTATGAGTGAAATGTTGGATGTAAAAAAAAAAACGTGCTTGTGAATTAAGACATGCCATCTGCCATATCCTTAGCAACCAGTGACATCACCTGGCCCCTATTTATTTACTGGCTAGGAATTCACCGGTCATGTAAACAAAGGGGCGGGGACAGCGCTCCCATCACTGACCAAATATGGCCACATTGTGCTATCCCCACTCCAGTCGATCCTAAATTCAGTGGCTAGACTCATCCACCTCACCAGCCGCTCCACATCTGCCTCCGCCCTCTGCCAATCCCTTCACTGGCTCCCGATTGCCCAACGCATCAAATTCAAACTGCTAACTCTGACCTACAAAGCCATTCACAATGCCGCCCCAAACTACATAACTGACCTGTTACCCAAATACTACCCTACCGTGCCCTCCGCTCCTCACAGGAACTCCTACTCTCTAGCTCCCTGGTCTCCTCCTCCCATGCCCGATTGCAGGACTTCTCCAGGACTTCCCCCATCCTCTGGAACTCCCTACACCAATCCATCAGACTGTCGCCTACCCTCCGCACCTTCAGGCGCACCCTGAAAACCCTTCTCTTCAGGGAAGCCTACCCCACCCTCACCTAACACCCGACCTCACCTAACAACTAACCTCCTCCACTCCTCCCGTCACTCCATCCCCCACAGCCATCTCCTCCTGTACCACCTTCCCCTCCCTCCTAGATTGTAAGCTCGAAAGAGCAGGGCCCTCGAACCCCTCGTGTATTGTATTGTTACTGTCTTGTCTCATGTTCTGTCCCCCTTGCTACTGTACAGCGCTGAGCATACCCATTGGCGCTATATAAATACTGTATAATAATAATAATAATTGCAATATTTTGTCAATTCCATCACTTGGGAGACCCCATCTCTTTATTTACATTTATTATCAGGGTGATGGGTGATGTCGTTCAGCATGAATGAGTGACGGGAATGGATTGTGTTGGCAGTCTGTGTTTTTTTTTTTTTTCTTTTTCTGGGTGTCCGGCATGATTAATGTGCATCTGCATTGCTAAACCACGTGACTGAGGATGGATGTACATCATGGGGGGTTTCATTTTTTATTGAAGGACTTGTCAAAAGTGTGATGTCATTATTTACAGGTTTTTTTTTTTAGTGAATGAGTAGGGGTACTGTGTACCCTTTACTAAATTCACATGGGGGGTAGTATCCGGAGTCTCCGTTTTCTTAACCAATAGCCTACAGGGCACTTATACCCCTTCCTGCCCAGGCCAATTTCCAGCTTTCAGCGCTGTCTGTCACACTTTGAATGACAATTGTGCGGTCATGCAACACTGTACCCATATGAAATTTTTATCATTTTTTTGAGACAAGATAGAGCTTTCTTTTGGTGGTATATAATAATCACCTCGGGGATTTTTATTTTTTCTTAAACAAACCAAAAACCACTGAAAATTTTGAAAAAAAAAGTTTTTTCTTAGTTTTTGTTATACAATTTTGTAAATAAGTGATTTTTCTCCTTCCCTGATGTGCGCTAATGAGGCTGCAGTGATGGGCACTGATAGGCTGCACTGATGGACACTGATAGGTGGCACTGATGGGCACTGATGAGGAGGCACTGGTAGGTTGCACTGATGGGCAGGGACAGGCATCACTGATGGGCACTGAAAGGCAGCACTGATATATGGCACTGATATATGGCACTGATAGGCGGCACTGACTGGCACTGATAGGTGGCACTGACTGGCACTGATAGGCGGCACTGACTTGCATTGTTAGGCGGCGGCACTGACTGGCACTGATAGGGGGCACTGACTGACACTGATAGGCAGCACTGACTGGCATTGATGCACACTGATAGGCAACACTGACTGGCACTGATAGGTGGCACTGACTGGCACTGATGGGTGACATTGAAAGGCAGCTCAGATGGGCACTGATATGTTGCATTGATGCGCACTGGTATGCACTGATATGTGGCATTGATGTGGCACTGGCACGTGGCACTGATGAGCACTGACAGGTGGCACTTCTGGGGCCACACTGATCATCAGGGCACACTGATCATCAGTGCCCTGATGCTCAGTGTACATGTCCCCTCCGTGGAAAGCCGATTACTGGCTCTCCTCTCCTCCCGAGCTGTCAGCGTGACAGGTCGAAAGGAGAGAATTGCCGATAACCGGCATTTCCATGTTTACAGTGGGGATCGAAAGTTTGGGCACCCCAGCTACAAAAAATTTGTATTAATGTGCATAAAGAAGCCAAGGAAAGATGGAAAAATCTCCAAAAGGCATCAAATTACAGATTAGACATTCTTATAATATGTCAACAAAAGTTTAGATTTTATTTCCATCATTTACACTTTCAAAATAACAGAAAACAAAAAAATGGCGTCTGCAAAAGTTTGGACACCCTGCAGAGTTAGTATCTTGTACTGCCCCCTTTGGCAAGTATCACAGCTTGTAAACGCTTTTTGTAGCCAGCCAAGAGTCTTTCAATTCTTGTTTGAGGTATCTTTGCCCATTCTTCCTTACAAAAGTCTTCCAGTTCTTTGAGATGTCTGGGCCGTCTGTCACGCACTGCTCTTTTAAGGTCTATCCATAGATTTTCAATTATGTTGAGGTCAGGAGATTGTGAAGGCCATGGCAAAACCTTCAGTTTACGCCTCTTGATGTAATCCCCCGTGGATTTCGAGGTGTGTTTAGGATCATTATCCATTTGTAGAAGTCATCTTCTCTTTAAACTTCAGCTTTTTCACAGATGGCATCAAGTTACCATCCAAAATTTGCTGAAATTTTATTGGGGAATCCATTTTTCCTTCTACTCATGAGATGTTCCCTGTGCCACTGGCTGCAACACAACCCCAAAGCATGATTGATCCAACCCCATGCTTAACAGTTGGACAGAGGTTCTTTTCATTCAATTCTGTGCCCCTTCTTCTCCAAACATACCTTTGCTCATTCCGGCCAAAACGTTAAATTTTAACCTCATCGGTCCACAGAACTTGTTTCCAAAATGCATCAGGCTTGTCTATATGTTCATTTGCAAAGTTCAAACGATGATTTTTGTGGTGAGGACGTAGAAGAGGTTTTCTTCTGATGACTCTTCCATGAAGACCATATTTGTACAAGTATCTCTTTATAGTGGAATAGTGTACCACAACTCCAGTGTCTGCCAGATCTTTCTGGAGGGATCGTGCAGTCAAACGTGGGTTTTGAATTGTTTTTCTTACAATCCTGCAAGCTGTTCTGTCTGATATTTTTCTTGGTCTTCCAGATCTTGCTTTAACTTCCACTGTTCCTGATGACTGCCATTTCTTAATTACATTCCGAACAGAGGATATTGACATCTGAAAACACTTTGCTATCTTCTTATAGCCTTCTCCAGCTTTGTGAGCGTCAACTATTTTCAGTTTCAGTTTTCTAGACAACTGCTTAGAAGAACCCATGGTGCAGATTGTATGGGCAAGGTCAGATGAGTCTGGGCATTTAAAACCTTTGAGATTGACATCACCTGGTCTTCCCAGATGATGATTGAGAACAATCCATGACACTGGCAGGTCTTAGCTTGGCAAAGGGGGCAGTGAATGCTATAAATTCTGCAGGGTGCCCAAACTTTTGCAGACGCCATTTTTTTTGTTTTCTGTTATTTTGAAAGTGTAAATGATGGAAATAAAATCCAACTTTTGTTGACATATTATAAGAATGTCTAATCTGTAATTTGATGCCTTTTGGAGATTTTTCCATCTTTCCTTGGCTTCTTTATGCACATTAATACAAATTTTTAGCTGGGGTGCCCAAACTTTCGATCCCCACTGTACATGTGATCAGCTGTGATTGGACACAGCTGATCACATGACCGAGCCGACACCTTCAGCGGCATTTCCATGTTTACATGTGATCAGCTGTGATTGGACACAGCTGATCACATGACCGAGCCGACACCTTCAGCTCTTTCTGTGATCCGCTGTGTCCGAGGGACACAGAGCACTGGCGATCACCGCGCTCCCTGAGCTGCGCATGCGCAGTGAGAATGGTAGGACGTCATATGATGTCCTATCATGATGTCCTATCAGAACGAGAGAACCACCTTGCGCCTGTCATTGTACTATAGGGCGGGCGGAAGGTGGTTAAAGAGGGCTTCCAAGTCCTGATAACCCCAGACCCCCGTAACCACTGTTGTAGGGAAGAGGCCCTTGTCCTCATCAACATGGGGACAAGATATTTTCCATGGGTGTCACTCCTGGCAAAGTACCCTCCCCATGTTGAGGGCTTGTGGCCCTGTATAGTTTTAGACAACACGCTTGTCCCCCCTTTTATGGTAAGCCAGGCTGCATGCTCAGATAAGGACCTGGTATGGATTTTTGGGGAACATGACATTTTTTTTTTTGCATAAGTTTTTCCTTAAGATTGAAATTTTTAGGGGGAACCATTAAAATAAAAAACTACGACATTTTCAGGCGAACACATAACTTTTTTTGTTTTTGCTGGTCCCCCTTGACTTATTAATATTATTATTATTATTATTATCAATGATATGATATATTATATTATCAATGATAACGGTCAATTATCTTTATTATCATCTTTTCCACGATGACCTTTATTATCGTTATCATGATGAATTTTATCAGTGATAAGGGTCTGTTATGAATTTTTTGGGAGAACCCCATGCTGTTTTTATTTTTTGTGTAGGCTTCCCCTTTAACATCTTTACCCCACCCTCATCTAGAATAAGTGTACTTGCATGGTATGAAGGGATTCTCCAGCAACTTTGTTTGGAAACAGAACAAAGCTGCCAAAGTTGTATTTACTGGCAACCTAAACTGCAGTTTTTTAAATAAATTTAATTTTTGCTGCAGTAGATTGTATACAGTACATCGTACCCAGGGTATTTTATCAGTGGGAACACAGACTAGCACCTCCAGCACTGGATGTATGTAATGGCAAGGAGTGCTGGAGGGTCTGTTGATGCTAGCTGATAGGGAATCTATTGTTGCATGGAGGAAATCTATTTATTAAGAGGGGGGGTCTAAGGTTTCTTGGGGATAATTTGTTACTGGGATCTACTGTCGATTATTGCTGGCTGCCGGAGGATGTAGAGATCTGTTGTTGCCAGGGTTTATTGTTGCTGGGGAGATCTATTGTTGCTGACTGCATGTGAGATCTATTGTTGCCAGGGGGTCTTTTGTTGCTGACTGCTTTTATTGTTTACTGCTTTCTTTGTACTGTTTTTCTTGTTATCATTAAATTCTGAATTACGTAGCAGTACAATAACAAGGGTGACTCAGAATGTGGGGGAGTTCCTGCATCTATTCTCTGAGAAAAAAAAGCATTGCCCCTTAGCCTAGTCCAGGGGTCCCCAAACTTTCTAAACAAAGGACCGGTTTACTGTCCTTCAGACTTTAGGAGGGCCGGAGTGGCCAGTGGGAGTAGAAAATGTCCCAGCGTCAATAGGAGTAAAAAAAATGACATAGTGCTTGTAGTCAGTGGAAGGAGGAATAGTATCCATTCATTGGTATTAGTTGGAGGAACAGTGCCCGTCATTAGGAGGAATAGTGCCCCATCATTGGTGTCAGTGGGATGAATAGTGCCCTAATATTGGTGACAGTGGGAGGAATAGTGCCCTAACATTGGTGTCAGTGGGAGGAATAGTGCCCCATCATTGGTGACAGTGGGAGGAATAGTGCCCCATCATTGGTGTCAGGGGGAGGAATAGTGCCTATTCATTGGTGTTAGGGGGAGAAAAAGTGCCCCCTCATTAGTATCATTGGGATGAATAGTGCCTCATCATTGGTATCAGAGGAAGAAACAGTGCCCCATCCTTGGTATTAGTTGGAGGAATAGTATTCCATCCTTGGTATTAGTTGGTGGAACAGTGCCCCGTCATTAGGAGGAATATTGCCCCATCATTGGTGTCAGTGGGATGAATAGTGCCCTAACATTGGTGTCAGTGGGAGGAATAGTGCCCCATCATTGGTGTCAGTGGGATGAATAGTGTCCTAACATTGGTGTCAGTGGGAGGAATAGTGCCCCATCATTGGTGACAGTGGGAGGAATAGTGCCCATCATTGGTGTCAGGGGGAGGAATAGTGCCCTAACATTGGTGACAGTGGGAGGAATAGTGCCCAATCATTGGTGTCAGTGGGAGGAATAGTGCCCATCATTGGTGTCAGGGGGAGGAATAGTGCCTATTCATTGGTGACAGTGGAAGGAATAGTGCCCCATCATTGGTGTTAGGGGGAGGAATAGTGCCCCCTCATTAGTATCATTGAGATGAATAGCGCCCCCTCATTAGTATCATTGAGATGAATAGTGCCCCATCATTGGTATCAGAGGAAGGAATAGTATTCCATCCTTGGTATTAGTTGGAGGAATAGTATTCCATCCTTGGTATTTGGGATGAATAGTGCCCCATCATTGAGTGGGAGGAATAGTGCCCCATCATTGATATTAGTGGGAGGATAGTGCCCAATCCTTGGTATTCGTTGGAGTGCCCATCCTCATTAGTGAATATGCCCCATCACTGATATTAGTGGGAGGAATAGTGCCCAATCCTTGGTATTCGTTGAAGGAATAGTAGCTAATTGTTCATATCAGTGGGAGGAATTGTGCCCCATCATTGGTGTCAGTGGAAGGAAAATTGCCCCATAGTTGGTGCCAGTGGAGGAAATGGTTCCTCCTTGTTGGTATCATTGGGATGAATAGTATTCCAAGGGCTGGTGGATAGAGGCAAGCAAAGGGCAGCAGTTTGGAGACCACTGGCCTAGACAATGGCCATTACTGATTTCTAGCATTCAGCTCCCTTTGACATCAACGGGATTCGTATTCAGAACTTGAACTTCAGTAAAGATCACTAAACCCAAACTTAACCCATGTAGGTTCGGCTCATCCCAAGTTTGTATTACCTCACAGGAATCTAAGAGAATAACCAACATGCTATATAATTTCCATCGTAAGGCTTTTGCTTTATTTCGGGTAAGAAAGGTTACTTAGAACTTTAATATCGAATCACAGGTACACATGCAATTTGAATGCTACAAAAGCCAGTTTACTGTAATCTACCTGTGGATGGCTGCATTTGTTGGAAAGACAGCAAATTCTATTACCGACTCCTCAAAGGGTTACTGGGATTCTTGGCCTATGGACAATACATTCTTCTGCTAAATGCAATGACAAATAAGCAT